AGTTCGTCGTCTTCTCGAGCTGAACCAAACCGTCAAGGTCCCTTAATTAGATTGTTCTCTGAACCCTGGTCGGAACATCTTTCATTCCGTCTCGATCCGACTTACGGTTGGAGTTTTACGATAAAAACCGCTAAAGACTTGTTTTCTCGTAAAACCTCGTGTAAATCGTATAAAACGGTAGCGGTTAAACAAAACACCAGAAATTGCCAAAACTATACGATTGACTCGAGTTATTTTGTAAAAAATGGCAGCGTATTATGGAACGATCTCATCTAAAATTGTAAAACGGCTAAGTCGCAAAATGGCTCGGAAAGACCTAAAACGCGATAAAGGCCCACTGACGACTTTAGATGAGATCCAGCCCAGAGATACAATGACGGTTTACTCATTATTCGCAGGAAGGATAAATTTTAAGTTTGAAGACAAAATATAAGTTTTCTAAGGAAAAATGGGAAGATCGAGATAAATGGAAGATTTTCGATAAACGCGAATCGTGACGGAAAAAGAAAGACCAACTGCCTAGAGGAGGAATATAAGCATTGGTTGAGGTCAAGAGGAAAAAAACTTTTACAACTTTTCTAGACTTAGAACTCTCTGCACTTGGAAACTTAAGCTTTATTCTTGACAAGTTCTATTTCTATGATTGGCGCTCAATTACTAGACGAACTCGCCCAGGCAGTTCGATCTCTTGTCCATCTCTATCAATTGAACTACGTTCGGCTTGATCCTCGAAAGGGGTACGTAGGCAGCCTTTTATGTTGCTAAAATTAGGTAACTCTCTGACGGCCCATGCGGCCAAAGTCTTTATATCTCTTTTAAATGATTGCAACGCTCTTACGCGAATTTGAAATAAGATCTACTTTCTTTATAAATTTGTTTTATCATGTTTTTCATATTTTCTGCATTTATTTGGTTACTTGTCGTTGGCTCTCGCAGAGATCCGGGTCCTCTGGAAAATTAGGGTTTTCCTAAGTTTCTTTATTTTACGAAAATCGACAGTGCGAATTTCGGTTCCCACAATCTTCTCTCAGGTTTAGATGTCTTAAGAAAATGCAGAACTTCATGAGTTATTAGGACATTATCTGATATTGATCTCTCCAGTATGAATGCTGATTGGTTTTCAGATATGATAGAGCTGAGAACTGGTTTCATACGCAGAGATAGGAGTTTTGAGATAATTTTATAGTAGACGTTGCATAAATCAGTGGGTCTGTAGTCTTTTGCTCTCTTTGCTTTTAGGTTCTTGGGGATTAATCTAACATATGCGGGGTTAATCGTTTTTGTGAGGGACCCCGTTGAGAAGAAGGCCTAGATTTCCTGGACCACAACTGGACCTACTACCTCCCAATTAGCTTGAAATAAGCTGGCTGAAAAGTCATCCAGTCCTGGAGCCTTATCTGCGTGGATTGCAAACGTTGCTTCCTTGATTTCCTTTGAAGATGGTTCCTTGATTAATGCTTCATTTTGTTCTTGCGAGACACATGGTTTGAGGGCTTGTTGGATTTTCTGCTCTTCTTTGTGGTTTGTTGCTGTGAATAGCTTCTCACAATATTTGCATATTACTCTTGAGATCATCTCCTCTTCAAAACAGGGTTCCATCCTCATCCTGCAGCACAAACATTCTGTTTTTTTTGCTTTCCTTCCTTTTGTAGAGGCATGAAAGAAACCCGAATCAGAATCTCCTAGAGCAAGCCATAGTTGTCGGCTTCTTTGTTTCCAGAAATTTTCTTCCTCTTTATATGTGTTTAGTAGTTTTGAATTGAGATATATTATTAGGCCCTCGTTGGGTGTTGGATTTGACATTACTTGATCCAGTTGATTGCGCAAATCGTTTAGAGCTTCTCTGCTGTTTTTATAGAATTCTTTGCTTCATTTGCAGATTGCTCTACGACACATGGAAAGCCTGTCCTGAAATCCTATGTAAGCGAAGTCCTCCCAAATCTTGGCTTTGACTTCCTGATTTTCCTTTAGTCTTCTATCAAGCCTGAAGATTCCATTCCCTTTTTTGACAGTTGTATCAAGGAAAGATAGAAGCGGACGATGATCTGACCCTTCATACTTAAGGTATTGACTTCAGCAAGAGGGAAAGAGATAAGACCACGCACTGTTACACATAGCTCTGTCAATTCTGCACTGCACCAAGTGGGTATGCCTCCTTCCCCTACAAGACAGGAAGCTTCCATGGAACTTTAGATCAAAAAGTTTATTTTCTGATAAAAATGTTCTGCGCGCTCAGAAGGTCCATTCTGCTAGAATTGATCCTCCACACTTTCACTGTTGTTGATAATCTCGTTGAAGTCCTTTGTTAGGAGCCAAGGGTCTCCTGGATTTTCTTGTAGGCTAGCTAGCACATTCCATTGATCATTCCTTTTTGTATGATCAGGCTCTCCCCACACAAAGGTAGTAGAGAAGTCTTTCCCTTTATGAGAAATTGTTGAGTGGATGAATTTTTTTGTGGCTGACTTAACTATGAGGTCGATGCCTTTTTTCCAGATGAGGAATAATCCCCCACCTCCTGGCGTCTCTGGTGGAACAGAGTGGTGCTTCTCAATGTTCAACCACTGTAGCTTCTCGAGAATTTTATTATCCGGGTTCTTGGTTTTTATAAGGAAAATGATGTCAGGATCATTTCTTTTATGAATTTCCTTGAGGTACTGGACTGTTATGGGATTCTCCAATCCACAACAGTTTCCGCTTGCCACGACTAAGGAACCCGGGGTAGAGCGGCCCGAAAATGCTCCGATCTTTTTGTGATTGCGGGGATTAGCTTAATTTGAGGTTTTTGGGCTTTGGAAGATCCGGCTTCATCTGCTCCACTTCGATGGTTCTGGTTTGGGTCATGTGGAGAGCCCTGTTGCAGTACGGTGATCTTTGATAGCGTGACACATTCCGCTTCCTTGTACTTGCTCCTCGTAGTGCTTTTGGGCTAGCATTTGAGGATTTCTAGTTAGCAGGCCGTCCTCTTTTTTTTTCTGAGAAGGAGATGTCGTTATTGAATTGCACTCTAGGGAATTCTCTGTTATGATATCCTCTTGTTGGTAGTTTTGCCTTCCAGGGACTGGAAAGTATTCTCTAGGATCATGGGTTAAGGCGTTTGCTTCGATAGGTTGTTCCTGTTGCATTGAGGCTGCAGCTTCTGCAGCTTCTGCAGCTGCTATGATTCTTGCAGCTCTTCTTCCACCTCCCCTCGTGCATCTTCTTCCAAGACCCTCAATCTTCTTGCTGCTGCTTCCACTGGGTCCTTATAGTTGAGGTACTTGTTTGTAACTGTTGGGGTCAAAATCGGTACAACGGAATCAACGGCCGAAACTCCCCGCAGAAATATAAAAGGAATCGTTTTGTAAAACCCGAAGAATAGTTTTATAAAATTCGAGGATCGTTTTATAAAACTCGAGGACCATTTTATAAAAATCGAGAATCGTTTTATAAAACTCGAGGATCGTTTTATAAAATTCGAGAATCGTTTTATTAAACTCGAGGATCGTTTTATAAAACTCGAGAATTGTTTTATAAAACTCGAGGATCATTTTATAAAACTCGAGAAGCCATTTTATAAAACTCAAAGATCGTTTTATAAAACTCGAGGGTCGTTTTATAAAATTCGAGAATCATTTTATAAAACTCGAGGATCATTTTATAAAACTCGAGAAGCCGTTTTATAAAACTCAAAGATCGTTTTATAAAACTCAAGGATCGTTTTATAAAACTCGAGAAGCCGTTTTTATAAAACTCGAGAAGCTGTTTTATAAAACTCGAAGATCGTTTTATAAAACTCGAGAAGCCGTTTTATAAAATTCGAAGATCGTTTTATAAAACTCGAGAATCTTTTAATAAAACTCGAGAAGCCGTTTTATAAAACTCGAAGATCGTTTTATAAAACTCGAGAAGCCGTTTTATAAAACTCGAGAAGCCGTTTTATAAAACTCGAAGATCGTTTTATAAAACTCGAAGAATCGTTTTATAAAACTCGAGAATCGTTTTATAAATCTATAAGAATCGTTTTATAAAAACTCGAGAATCGTTTTATAATACTCGAAGAATCATTTTATAAAACTCGAGAATCTTTTTATAAAACTCGAAGAATCGTTTTATAAAACCCGAAGAATCGTTTTATAAAACTCGAGAATTGTTTTATAAAACTCGAGAATCGTTTTATAAAACTCGAAGAATCGTTTTATAAAACTCGAAGAATCGTTTTACGAAACCGCAAAAAACCGAAACAGCCGTAAAACGCGAACTAGTCACGACTAATTCGCCCACGGGCGAACTAGGAGGCACTCGACTAGTTCGCCCATCGGCGAACTAAGCTGGCCCGGCTTAGTTCGCCGATGGGCGAACTAGTCCCGTCCCGGCTAGATCGCCATTGGGCGAACTAAGAGGTGCTGACTTTGCCCCACTGGTTCTTTTCGCCTAGTTCGCCATATGGCGACCTAGCCAAGCTGAACTAGCTCGCCGTACGTCGAGCCGACCATCCCGAGATTCTTCGTTAAGATTATAAAAAACGCGTTTTTAATAAAAAACGTCGAGAGAATCGTAAAAAAACGGCATCAGATCAGGAAACGGTCTCGTTAAAGTCGTAAAACGGTTTTTATCGTAAAACGGCCCGAAAGGTCCTAAAACACGATAAAAACCCATCTAGCGACGTTAACGAAATCAAACCCGAAGATACGATAACGCTTTGACGGTCTACTCGCAGACGGAAGATAAAAGGCAAGTTTGAAGATAAATAGAAGATTTCCGCATAAGAAAAGGAAGGATCGACAGATATGGAAAGTTCCCGAAATATTCGGTTTCGAGCAAAATGGAAAGACTAAAACCGCCTAAGGAGGAGTATATAAGGAGGAGG